GAGAGAGAGAGAGAGAGAGAGAGAGAGAGAGAGAGAGAGAGAGAGAGAGAGAGAGAGAGAGAGAGTTTTCCATGGATAGAATGAGGAAAATCGAATGAATCTTCCACTAGAACATGGAAATATACAGGTATTTATTTCATGGAACCAAGTCCTCGACCTCGGGGCGGGGTCGCGTTCAAAAATTTCGAGCCATGTGGCGCGTAGCACGTTTGAACGTGGCCCCCGCCCATTTGGACGAGCGTGTTCACAGCGTTCAGACAGTCACATAGTTTCTCCCCCTTCTCTTCTTCCTTTCTATAAAGGGCGACGAGCTTGACATATGATCTTCGAACTGAATGGAGCTAGGTAATTCAGAATTGTAGTGTTTTCCTTACCGGACTCCACAGAGTTCAAACTCTGGTCTGTTCTTCGGGCCTGCCCCACCGCTCGTGAAACAGTGAAATGCTTCAAGAGCTGTCAGACGTTTTCAAGAGTTACATTTTCTAGAGTTTTTGGCCCCTGGCCACACAAGTGAAATGCTTCAAGAGCTGTCAGAGGTTTTCAAGAGTTACGTTTTCTAGAGTTTTCGGCCCCCGGCCACACAGCACTCTTGAAAGGGCCATGCTGCTGGACAAATGATGAAAAAAGGTAATCGAACAGCTTTGTTTTTCCTTGATGGCGTTAGCATAATGGCCTGACAACTCTTGAAAATCCATAGTCAGTCAAGGGGTCGGCCAAGGACGCTTGAAAAGGCACTAGTTGCAGGCTGGGGTTTCAAATCTTTCAAGAGCCACTATGACAGCTCTTGAAAGCCCCAACTTTCAAGAGGCTGTGTGGCCACGCAGCAACTGTACTCTTGAAAATGAGTTTGAAAAGGCATTAGTTGCAGGCTGGGGTTTCGAATCTTTCAAGATCCGCTCTGACAGCTCTTGAAAGCCCCAACTTTCAAGAGGCTATGTGGCCACGGAGCAACTGTATTCTTGAAAATGAGTTTTCAAGAGTGGTGTGGCGAGGCCCTTCAACAGTTGAGAAGTGTACCAACTGAGCTAGACCAGATGATACCTCATCCATCTACGTTGGGGAATTCTCTCGGTAAAAGACAATATGACTTTTTCCAATGTTTAATCTCTTCGTCCGTCAGTTTTGTCTTTCTGTCTCTAGAACACCATATGGCATCCCTGTGTCGAGTAGGGGTGCAACACCTGACCTGATCCAGATCCACTCTTTGTGGGTGGCTTGAATCTATTGGTGGGGAGCAACACGTGTCAGGAACTGGGTCCAGCGTCCCTACTGACAAGGACTTCTTTTTTTTTTTTGTTTTCTTTTTTTGGCTGACAAGGACTTCCTTTTCCAGATGCCATTTCTTTTAATTAAAAAAAACAAAATAAGATAATGACTGACAACCATCAGCTGGGAAGCGAATGAAGTCCCCTGGCATGGGCCCGGCGTTGGTTTATTGCCCAGCTGTTACATGCAGCACGTGCACACACGGGCCATTTTGCAGGCCCGACAACCATTTTGCAGGCCCGACAGCGTTCAGGCCAAACGCCTGAACTTCAGGCCGAAAGCCTGAATTTCAGGCTGAAAGCCTGAAATCCAGGGCTTACAGGCCCCCTGTCGGTTCAGGCCAAAAGCCTGAAGTCCAGGGCCTATCCCTGGTCGTTTCAGACTAAAAATGGCAACAGCGTTTTTAGCCTGAAACGAAGGGCCATTTTCGGTCATTCATCAGAACGACCGGCCCTGAAACTCAGGCACCAAACCAGGGTTTCGGAAACAGACTATTATTAGTCTGTTTCCCACGCCAGCCTCAAGCAGGCTGCTGCACGCCAGCCCCTGGCACATTTCGGCATTGGCAAGAGCTRCCTCCTCGGCCTGACTGCCCTCCAGTAGTCAGGAGGCAGGCCGAGGTAGTACATAGGACTTCCCAGGCACTTCCAAGGTAGGCAGTTGGTAGTTGTAGTCTTCAGGATTCGGGGGCAGCACTCTGGAGGGAGCGCTGCGTTGTAGTAGTGGTAGTGTTAGCTAGTAGTCTTCAGCGCTGGGCGCAGTAGGTATCTGTAGTCTCCAGTGCTGGGCGCCATAGCTAGGTAGTACTAGAGAGAGAGAGAGAGAGCTTGGGCGGAGGCCAGAGATACCTACCTGCAGCGCCGTTGCTCCAGCTTCGTCTTCGAGGTACCTGCAGCACAGCGCCAACATCACAGGTTAGTACTTGGTTCGTAACACAGAGAGAGAGAGAGAGAGAGAGAGAGAGAGAGAGAGAGAGTTCTTCTTCTTCTTCTTCTTCTCAGTCCACCATCTCTTCTCTCCCTCCCACTGCTGACTTCACTGCATCTGCAGACTATGAGAGAAGAGATACAGAGCTTGGTGACATTGGATCCAGACTCGACTTTCGAGGGTTCAGACATAGCAACGAGGGACTATTTGGGACTGGTGACCAAGACTTGGTGTTAACGACATTCCCATCTTCTTCCCTCCTTTCGTCTGATCCNGGGTTCAGACATAGCAACGAGGGACTATTTGGGACTGGTGACCAAGACTTGGTGTTAACGACATTCCCATCTTCTTCCCTCCTTTCGTCTGATCCTTATCTCTTCGTCTGTGTATGTCTGGACCTGGCGCTTTCTTCCTGTGTGTAGCGCCAGGCTCCTCCACACTTCGTGATGGATACAATGCATGTTTAGTCTGAGTTCAAACATTGATTGGGCTAGTTAGAGGTACTCTAGCATTCTGCTTTGTTACTCTGAACTGCGTGAATGAGGTCAGTCCTGTCCGGTCAGTCTTGTATCAAAGTCTTCCCTGCGCTCTTCAGCATCTTTATGTATGAATGAGAATGTACATTGCTTGTCGAGATTCTACTCGTACCGCATTGTCTATTCAGTCCTTTTCATCACATTGCAGATTCTCAGTTTATTACGTACATTGCATATATGTGCATGTAACAGTTGGTATCGTAGCATTTGCACGTGAATCAGGACTATCTGATCTGACACGTGTGCGGGGATCAAAAAAAGCTAGTTAGTCTTTTCTGTTGATTAGGACATACTAGTTAGACCCCAAAATCACGATCTTGACCTTACTACAAAAAAAAAAAAAAATTGAAAATTTTCTTTTCTTGGATTTTATTTTCTCGCTATTCTGCTGTGGAAAATCGCTATATCGCAACATCTGAAATTCCTAGTTTCGTTTTTCTTTCTGAAAATTCGAAATTTCGTTGTTAAAAATCCGGAATATATTTCTTTTTGAAAATTTTGATTTTCTGTTGCATTTTCCCGTACTTACAACTTCGGAATATCTTCTTTTCTGAAATTCGTTTTTTTGAAAACAGTACGGGAAATACCTCCTGCACTTATTATTTTTTTTCAAACTGCGAATATTCCCATCGGAATAAATCCGAATATTTGTCATTTCAGTTCGGACGTTTTTTGCAGTTGTTGGATTCTGTCAGTTGGTTCTATCAATCGGTTGCAGTCTAAAGTCGATTTTTTTTTTGCTTTCAGAGATCATTTCGTACTTCGAGGGAGATTGGGAGACCTTCCGAACTTGCAAAAATCGGGATTTTTATTTTTTTTAGTTTCTCGAAATTTTTTTTTTGCAAAGTTCAAACTTTTCTGGTTTGATTAGTGGTTCCTTATCTAAGTGTGAGTTGGGCGATTATCCCACCCACCCCTCCCCACCTACGTTGTTGCCATCTCTCGCCTTGCCGTTGCTGCTTGTCTCTGGGTACCCTTGTGACGGCATTGGTAAGTTGCCACGTCAGCAGGCCACGTCAGCAGACCACGTCAGCAGGACACGTCAGCAGGCTACGTAAGTACGTCAGCAGACCACGTCAGCAGGACACGTCAGCAGCAAGGGATACCACATCAACAGGCACCGGTCTGGCCTATGCTGTTGCGTTCACAGACAGCAGTCATGGACCAGAAGGCCGGGGAAACAGACGAGGCCTATCAGGCCCGCATGTTAGCCKGGAGTACCGAGACAAAGAAGCGAGCAGATGACGCTGCCGCAGCAGCCAAGAAAAGGGCAGAGGATGCCGAGCAGGCACGTCTGCTGGCCGTGCAACAACACCGCCAGCACGACGAGGCAGCAGCAAGGGCTGCCGACGAAGAAAGGACACAGCGTCGTGAGAAGATATTAACTGGAGAGCGGACGTTACTTACCATGGCAGCAGAATGGCGAAGTGAGGCCGAGAACAGCCAGTTGGAGGACAACGCAAACAAGATAGCGCTCCTCCTCTCCCATCTCACGGATCTCCTGGCAACCTGCATTACACAGCAAGCGGAGATCCTTGGTCTTGACAACTCGGTAGCTCAGCTCCAGGACCGCCTTCAGCGGGTGGAGCAGTGACCAGTCACCGCTGCCAACGCAGGCTCTTCCAACACTGCCGACCGCCTCACCGCATTGGAGATGCACGTCGGCTCCCTCCAGGATGGCGCACAGTTACAGCAGACCGCGACGCAACAGTTGCAGCAGCGGGTCTGCACTACCGCCACCACCTCGAGTCCGGAGCCGCGCGAGACAGCTCCTAAGTTCGATGGGCAGGAGATCTTCCACGACTCAATCAAGACAGATCCRATTCCATGGTTTCGCAAGTTCGAGCTCATGCTGCAGCTCCACAACGTCAAGGAAAACAAGCACCACGCYTACTTGTACTCTCGCTCAGGGGACGCGTGTCAGGCGTGGTTGGACAACTTGCTGTCCAAGTACGGAGTGGTAGCAGCGGACTTGCACGCCATGATCAACTGGGATGATCTGAAGGCAGCATGGCACAAGCGGTTCCAGGTGGAGCCGCCAGAGATCAAAGCCATGGACAAGCTTATGGTCTTCGAGCAAGGCTCGCTGTCGAGTACGGACTGGATCGCCGAGTACCAACKCTTGACGTCAGTCCCAGACATTCAGATGGGCTTCAAGGCCATCCGCCACTACTTCATCTCAAGGTTATGTCCGACATTGAGCAATGCCCTGACGCATGTCGAGGACACCTTGACAATGACGGCGGAACTATTCGACAAGGCGGCGCAGATCATCGTTACGAACAAGGAGGCCAAGAACCTCCGTTCTTCTGCGTCAGGCCCGAGTGGGAACCAGCATTGGCCACGAGTGGCCGTGGTCGCAACGGTAGCGCCGTTAAACCAAACCAGCGAGGCTGCGTCTGCCTGTAAAGGAGATAGATTCGCAGCCGCCCGGGAAGGTGGCCGCGCCGGCAGAGGCCGAGGGCGCGGCAAGCCGAAGACACACACCGCTTCTAGCCCCGGGCCCGGTGCAGCAGCTCAGACAGGTCCATGGACCCCGTATGGCCTCTCCGACTCTGCCTACAAGGCACGCGAGAGATTTCATTATTGCCTGTGGTGCAACAGCGATCTTCATCTGACGCCGGTTTGCCCACTGAAGGGCAAGGGTCGACAGGGAAACGGAGCACCGCCGAGAGTGATGCGACGACACTCTCGACGCCTTCGAAACTGGTTTCTTCGCGAGTGACCAGCCTTCATTCCGAGGCGCACGCGGAAGTCGACAGCCCTCCGCTTCTATTTTCTTTTGAGGACTATGCTGCCCAGCTCGTTCCAACGTTGGGTACTCAGGCTCAAGGATAAGGAGTGTGTGCGGTTTCTTCTCCGTCCGGCAACAGCGACATCTCGTCTTCAAGTGGTTTGTCACGGGATTTGGCGCGCGAATTCAAGATAGAGGTTTTGGACCCGCTCACGTCTCAGGACTTTGCATGGCTTCCTCTCCCGACCACAGGCTGTTTGCCGGGACCGCAATACGCAGCACTTAGCGCTCATCTCCACACTTACCTTTCCTTCTATGCACCACCAACTTTGTCGACGGATGACGAAGTCGCGGTGGGGGACATCCTGGCGTACGTTACCAAGGTGGCCCCGGAGTTTCGCACGCAGCGGTACGATAACAACAATGCACCGCTCATGTACGTCCGCATCCAGGTTGGGCAAGCGTCCTGCGGCGCTTTGCTGGATAGCGGCGCGACTCGCAACTTCATGAGCCAGTCTTTTATGCAAAGAGTTGGCCTTGGTGCTCAGGTTCGGAGGAAGGCAAACCCGACGGCGATCAAGTTGGCGGATGGTAAGACGTAGCAACTTCTGGACCGTTACATTGAGGCCGTACCGGTCTACTTCGCACCTCATGCATGCGAACCGGTAACATTCGATATTCTCGACACGGACTTCGACATCATTCTGGGAATGCCTTGGCCCGCAAGTGTGGATCACACAGTCAACGTCCATCGGCGGACTCTTAGCGTTCGCAACGCCTTCGGCGCGAAAGTAGCGTGTACGATTCCTCTACCGCACTCTTCGATCCGGTGCCAAGTGGTGACGACCAAATCATTCCGGGCGACTTGTGCTTACGAGCAGCCCGAGGAGATCGGCATATGTTTTCTACGGACCGTCGTGGTAGCCGACTCTTCACCCACGGACTTGTCTTCGGACCCCCGTGTGGTACGGTTGCTGGACGAGTTTGCCGACATCTTCGAGTCACCTACCGGTGTGGTGCCGGGTCGGCCTATCT